ACGAGCAATGGAAAGGGGTGTAGGGTGGGTCGAGGGGGGGTGGGTAGCCTGTAAAATATGATCCGGAGTTTGGCTGGCCTGCCCGACGCCACGGTGGCTAATACGTTTGAGGGCGAAGTTAGTAACAGGTGGCGCGATCCATAACGGTCCCTGCAACCCCCGACCACCCCCTGACGCATCCCACACCACCCTCCACCGTGATCCTGTCTTTCTTCGTGGAAACTAGCCCCCGGTGTTGGTTCTAACGGGTACACGCGCCTACACCAGAAAACGGGGGAAGAAACTTTAATTAAAAATAAAAACTTGTTTCTTTCGTTGCAGAGTCCCTGCCGCCGAGCACCAGCCCCAGTCCGTCCACCACGGAGTTGCCGAAGAAAGGTAAGCTCGTAAACCTCCCTTAATCGCGGGGAAAATAATATTTCATCCCCGCGGAAGCGCCGACATGGCGTGCTTCTATTTTTTCTCGATACCGCTTCGAGAGCCCTCGTTGCAGCCTCCACTCTACCGCTCTGGCTGATCTTTCCTCTTGCTCGCACCGCGTTCAAGCCGGTGGATTCTGAGCGCGCCTCCTTCGTTTTCACTTCTTTCTGCTCGTAATTTAGTTGCGAAGTTTCGCGCGGTGAATATCGTGTATCGCGGAGGGATTGTCCTTCGAAACTCGTTTTTGATACGTGGGGCTGGAGTGGGTTTTGTGCGGGTTTTGAGAGGAGTTTTGTGGGTTTGTGGGACTGTTGAGTTTGGCATTTGTGTTATTCATAGTGATAGATTAATATTCACTGTATTGGGATTAGTGTAGTGGAATTAGGGGATGGAGATAGAAAATTAATATAGTGAACAGAAAAGGGATGAGTGAGAATCTTCTCAGTGGTAGTAGCAATAGAATGTAGAGATTCTCCTGATTAAAATGAGCCCAAACACGATAGGAATCGGTTAAGTTTTATGGATTGGTGGTAACGAGCCTTAATTTTGAAAATTAAGTAGCTCGATTTGTTTGCAGTAACTTTGATGTTACCTTCTCAAACGTAGTGCTAGTGAATTTCTATGATCGTTGCTGTTAAAATGAGTCGAAACACGATGTGAATCGGTCTAGTTTTATGGATTGGTGGAAAGGAGCCTTTAGTTTTGAAAATTACACTAAATTTTTCGACCTCGTTTGATTCCCATCGTGTTTGGGCTCATTTTAATCGGGTGAATCTCAGGAATTCACTGACACTGTATTTGGGAAGGTAAGAAGAAATTTCTATAACACCATAAAAGTTTATATATCTTCGACTGGTTAAAACCAATAGATGTATAGGAAACACACTCCTCCTATCTATTATTAAACGTAATAAGTCTTCTTTCGTATAACATGGTAAATGTACAAGAATCCTACAAGTAGAATAATTTTTACCATATTCGTTCTTCAAAATAACTAATTCAATGCAAAATTTTCTGTGCAGATTGGGAGCTGATGGCTGAAATAAATAATTCTGTTTACGGAAACCCAAGCTCCTTGACGATTCACAATGAAAGGAACACGAAAAATGGTAAGTTTGCTTCTAATTTATTAATTCTCATTCGTTCGCTGGAAACTCAATTCATATCACATAAACTGAAATTCACTAAAGACAAATAATAACAAATCATTATATATTCTTAGTTAATCACTTGTTCCTCGAATTTCATTTTCAAACAATAATTTCTTCAATCATACATCAATACAACCTTCTATCCAAGATGGAAGTGAACATAACCTAAAAATCAAAGGCATTTATCTCAATAAACATATTATATGAGAAAATAATGTTCCTCTATACAATAATAAATAAACATACTCAGACATGGCTAATAAATATTTTATATACTAACAACGAGGAGTCATAAGATAAAAAAAAAATTATTAAAATAAGAATAAAATAATGCAAAATAGACCACATAAACAATAAGTTAATAAATAAAATAACTTAAATATATAAGAAAGTAAAAAAACGACAGTACAAGTAAAATCAATGCAACAAACAAAGAGAATGAAATAAAGTATAAAAACGAAGTATCAGATGGCTAAAGTGTGTCTCGGTTAGGTCACATAACCTCGAAATACTACGATTTCCATTTAATCTGATAGCATTGAACCAATTTCGCTACGACACGAGGGGAAAAAACCGTGGAGAAATCACACCTACACAGAAATATCGCGGGACTTAGATGGAAGCAAATGTAAATGGCAAAAAGTTGCTCCGGCTCGAGTCTACCAGCGAAACGCATTCTCTTCAATCTTGATCTTTTTTCGAAGAACGCATCGATCACCCGGATACCTCTCACGGGAAACTCGGGAAAGGGTGCAGCGAGGCGGAAACGCAACAAAAATGTAATAATGCGATAAAGTTAGCAGTCAAATAAAGAAAAATCTCTTGAACCGTGCATTCGAGGTTCTCGCGAATCGAATTGCTTCTGCAGGTGATTCCATGGCAGTTCTAAAAGGGAATTGATTGCCTGAACGTCAACGATTCCGCTTCTTTTATTCTGATTACTTTTATTATCATATTGTGAATATATAGTGTGTCAATTTTATATGTCATTGGAATTAAATCATGAATTATTTGTTATTTAACAATGTCATATTTTTATCTATAATTTCAATTAACTCATGAATTATTTTAGTGTTCAACTTTTGCTCTAAATAGTCTTCAACGGTTGAAGGTTCGCTTTTACTGGTTCAACTTTTACCCTCAACTGGTTCAACTTTTGTCCTTAATAGTGTGTTCAACAGTTGAAAATTCACCTTCACTGTGTTCAACTTTCACCGTTAATAATGTCTTCAACAGTTGAAAACTTCTGCACTCAAAATTAGCTCCTTTCGATTCAACAAAGGAATACCTGTCCTCGAACTTACATATCGAATACCACCAAAAATTTAAGTCCTGTTTCCACAAAACGCATTGAAAATTTTTTTAACCTCTATTTTCACAAAAACCATTAAAAGTACTGACCATCAGAAACCATACACTTCATACGTCACAACATAACAATTGTTTCAATGAATATACAATTTACGGTATGAAGATTGAAATTTAGAATTGAAATTCGGAATCGTTCGCTTCGGTGTAATCATGTGAGACTAATTCTACGCTCGCGGTAATTAATCCCTACGTTGTCTGACGTTTACAACTTCTTCCAAGGATTCTTAGAATCAATGGCCGCTTTGAGGGCAACTTTAAGGAGCCGAGAAGTTAGAAACTTCGGGAATTAAAGTAAATCTATCAAACAAAGGAACACGCTTAGAGTACCTACTCGAAGGAGCCTGAAGTGTTCAATTAACCTCGTATAACAAGTGATCGTATAATTTCACTGTAATTAATTTGTAGCTATTAATTAGGAGTTCGTCGTGATGCAATAGTTACTATTGAATTCTGTCCCTGGCTTCGTATATTGTTCAGTAAATATCGTTATAAACACAATACTGATAATTAATATAAGTGTATTAATATCAATGTTCGTAATTACAAATTAATTGTACCACTGATGTCAGTATTATTAGATTATTTAATTACAATGTTTCCAATGAAACAAACTTGGAAGTACACTGAAAACAATGTTTAATTCTTTAAGGTGTAAATTAACAATGTTTTCAGTTTTAATAATTGTATTGAAAGTTAAAGTTAATTAATCACTTCATCCCACTTTGCTATGGGAAATAAAATAAATTAATAAGATGATAATACATTTCATGTGATTTTAAATTCACACAAGCTTATAGAGGGTTAACAAACCATACAAAATTTTGCAAGCAACAATTTCATTCCAAAAATAAATAAAAAATCACAACTAACCAACAAAACCCAAATAACTGATTTCGTCGTCCACTGATGTCAAAATAGCCATGAAAGTCAACGACACACTAAAATCCGCTGAGTCCCACAAATAGCAGCCAAAAGACCCAGAACCGAAGGAAAAATTCCCAAAACCTAGCAAACAACAAATCCAACTCGAGTTTCGCCTGACTCGAACAAGCGGATCACGAGAACCCAAACAATAGAGGAGGCCAAACCCTGAAAACCAGGGAACACCAAAGAACCCAGGAAGCGCATGGGGACAACAAGTGAAAACCTCGTGAAAGTAGAAGTAGATGTTTATATACGTGTAAAATCTGAAGAACTATAGGGAGAAGAAGGGTCGAGCGACGGGGCGGGGGTCGAGGATCGAGAGCTGATGGGGGACCTGTAACATCAATATTTCATGTATGCTAACACGCCAGAACTAATAATGCACCAGCTAGGAAGACCCAAGAATAATATCAGCCACCGGCGTGCTCCGTGCTCCCCCTCCACGGCCATCCCATTCTCCCCGTGTCGCTAACCCCAACCCCCTGATCCAGTCCTTCGAACCCTTAAGGGGTGACGCCACTCTGGAGGTCGAGGAATAAGATGGTTTTCGAGAATTTTTAGAATAAAGACCACACGTGGTGTAGAATGAAGATTAAGAAGTCTGAATACGGATGAATGGATTTTCGAGAATGTTTAAGTAAATTATTTTTGTAACAGATATGTTAACGTGCAATGAAGAAAGTTTCAACTGCAGTCAATTTAACCTTAGCTTCTTAAATGTAGTGTTAATGGATTTCTGAGATCGCGCTGATTAAAATGAGTCCAAACACGAAGGGAATCGGCCCATTTTTACGAATTTAATCTAATTTTCGAAACTAAAGGTTCGTTTCCGTGAAATTTATTTATTCCTCGATTCATGTCGTGTTTAGACTCATTTTAATCAGCCCGATCTCAACAGCCCACCAGTCCAATGACCAACAAGTTAACGTTATAATGACTCAATTAAAATTTTATTCATATATTTTCATTGACGCGTGCCTCACCACTCTAAATGACAACACCACCCTAGAACTCCAAAAACAAAAATCTCCATTAATCCTCAAAAAAACCACAAGCCACAAAACCAAGAACAAAGAAACTACATCGCATACACCCTCACTAAAGTCCGTTTCCATAGAAAAATTTCCAGTCAACTCGACCGCTCAGTACTTCCGGCGTTAGGCCTTTCTCCGTTGCACGCGCGGCGGCACGAACGGGCTGTCCTCTCGTCCGTGCTAAATTTAATCTAACAAAGTGCGAGAACCTTTTCGAAAATTCGTGTCTCGTTGGCCCGGGCCGCCCCCGTCGTCCCGAGCTGCCTCGGGGCTGCATCTAAGCTGCAGCGTCGTCGACGGAGGAAGATGGCGCGGGGGGGAAAGACAA